GGTTTGTCTGATTTGTCGTTGTGTTTTCTGACTTGTTATTTTGTTTTCGAATTTGTCATTGTGTTTTCTGACTTGTTATAATGTTTTCTGAATTGTTGTTGTGCTTTCTGAATTGCTATTTTGTTTTTTAGACTTGCATTTGCGTTTGTAATTTGTTATTTTGTTTTCAGAATTGTGATTTGCTTTGCACTTCTCGGCCACCGTAGAAACGTCCTGTAGACGTATTGCAGATGAGCAAACACTCTAAAAAACAGGTCTTGCCGATGTAAATGCAGATGTCTCCGTGATATACGTAGGCTATCAGGATATACGTATGCTATCAGGATATACGTATGCTATCAGGGCAGTAAAACGGTGCGCGAGTACAGAGTTCTCTATCGTGTTGGTGCACAAATGTTTAAACTGACAAGATAAAAACGTGCAGCGTCAACTTAACCGAGCCGCACTGACTGGCTGAAAACAGAGGATAATGAAAAAAAGTGAAACTGATTAGACTGTGGTGGGCCATAACACCATAACAGAACGCTTCAACAGGACTGAGTGAGACGAGTGTTGCCCAGACCAGTGGCGTAGCACAAAATCTGTTTTAAACCATGAAGGCTGAGAAACGTGCAAACTTTGCGCAAGAGTTATACCGGTGAACGTCTTAACCTCAGTCAATTATACAAAGTGAAAGTATTACCGCTGCATTAACGGCGCATATTCTCTCAGAGACGAATCTACTTCAACATATGCTGATAACATTATTCCCTTAATATTTCTCTTGTGGCCCATACATAGTAGAAAAAAAAGAGAAATGTATTTTGCGTTAAACAGGTTGTTTTTGAAAGTCGGTGCTTGAAATCAAGCTGCTCTTAAATTTTCATTGATGACTGCAGTGTTAATCATTTTAATTATAGGCCTATAATTCACTGTATAAATTAATAGACCGGTTTTAAAAGACCTTTTTAAAAACATTTTCAATGAGGAGTAAGCGGATAGCCTAAACTTTTATTATCCTCACACCGCGTCAGTTATGCGGTAATGCGCTATGAAATTATTGTGAGGCAAATTAATTGTAATTTAATAATAAAAGTAACCTAATAATAATAATAGGCCTAATAATAAGAAGAATGTAACAGGCCTACATTAATTGGAAATGCCAAATCCTCTTAATATTGCCAATATTTGATGCTTTTGACAATATCTCTGCCTATATAGTAGACACGTGATACAACGCAACCCCACACGGGGAGGTTATCCTTCTACATACAGAAAAAGTATGTAGAACTCGCCTTTTAATTTTCTTTTTTGAATTCAAGTTAATAGAACTTAATTAAAGCATGTGGCCTGAATATATAATTTAAATGAGTAATATCGAATTAGTTCTTGCGGTGGTGTTGAAATTGGAGTTGAGGTAAAATTTCACTTGGAACTGGTAGTGACTCCTAAAATCTTGGTGTGGTGACACTATTTCTCTGAGCAACGAGAGATTGTCTTACGATGAAGAGAGGATTGGAAATTATAAAATCTCTCTCGTTACCATCCTCTCTTCACTTTCCATTTTAGTGAAAGTATCAAAATAATGTTAGATCTCACTGGCAGCCTCATACTCAATCCGATTAGGGGGCGAGTCATTGATCGTGTTCGTCACTAGAGCATCAGTGTGATTAGAGGACCTCTCATTAGCATCATCCATCAGTGGAATCTCACTCTGATTAGGCGACAAATCAACAACACCATTCACCTGTAAGAAAACAGATTCACAGAAGGTAAAAGAAATGAACAGGACTAATGACACACAAAAAATACTAGACTAGGAACTGTAATTGTGTATTTCTTTTGATGTTTGCAGAACGTATGGTGGTTTTCTTTTCTTAAATATTAAACACAATCATAAATGTTGGATGTTTCTCTTAATGAATCTGACTAATTACACTGTCATCTGTGCTACAGTAATACACAGTTGTGGCCTAAAATATCAGCACCCATGTACGTTTATTTTTTTTTTTTAAGTAATAACAATAAGTTTGTATAAGTTTGCAAAGAGGCTGAGAATTCCTGGTAAATTCTAGAAACATTCCAGAAATTCTGGAAATTTCCAGAATTTTTTGTAAACTTTCACAAAACATTCTGAATTGTTTGGAAAGTTTCTGGAAATGTTCCAAAAATTACTTGGTAAATTTAAATTTTTAAATTGCTCAGGGGAACTACACAAAATGATACTTGCCAATGACAGAAACACGGAAGCTCCTTATGATGCTGATTCTGCTGCTGTTGGTCTGTAGTTTATACAGTCCAGAGTCTGTGGTGTTGATGTTTGTGATGGTCAGAGATCCAGTCTGACGATCCAGCTTCAGTCTGTCTCTGAATCTCTCAGTACCGTCATCACACTGATCATCTGTACAGATCTTTCTGGGTTCTTCACTGATTTCAGCGATGCAAATGTCATTAAAATACCACGTCATCAAATCCTCTGGGTTTTTCATTACACCAGTATCTAAAGTGACAGATTCTCCCTCCTTCACTGACTTTCTCTGCATTTGATCTCGTTCATTAGCAGGAACATCTGGAACACAAACCAACAAGCTGACTGGAAGGATATTTATGTCAAAACACACACAAAAAATGAAAGAACTGTGGATATGAAAGTGATTTAATCATGCTTTCAAAAAAAAAAAAAAAAAAGGCCCAAAATGTACAAAAAAAAAAAAAAACAGGTATCTGTTTTATACACATTTTATAAACTTATTTGACATGAAATCCTCATTATGATAGTTTCAATGGTTAGTTTTATTTTCCATCTATGATCACGTTCTCATATCATCACTTTGAAAGGATGATTTAGTTTTAAATCAAACTGAACTGTTTAAAGATGTCATTTGACTATTACACTTAACATGAATTGTTTTTAAAGAGATGATCTATATACTGCATCAAATACAAATGAGAAAAAAAAACATATGACTATCAATGCAAAAAAATAATAATTAAAAACACATTAATTATGTGACTTAAATTTATATAACCTGCTTTTAAATGTGTTCATTCATTAAATGTACTAAATGACTTACCATGAACAGTAACATTAAAGGTCTTTTCACTGCTTTTTCTTATGCTGATGATCTTTAATTCATAGAGTCCAGCATCTGTGGTTGTGGTGGTTGTGATGGTCAGAGATCCAGTCTGATTGTCCAGCTGCAGTCTGTCTCTGAATCTCTCAGTACCTACATTACACTGAACATCTGTGCAGATCTTACCGAGATCTCCAGTGATTAGAGCAATGCGAATGTCATCAAAATACCATATTATATATTCCTGTTGGTTTGTTTCAAAACCAGTGTTTAGAGTGACTGAATCTCCCTCCATCACTGACACTGACAATACATCGGTTTCAACGGCTGACACACCTGAAGAAGAAATGAACAGAGAATTAAGCCATAATAAAATGTAGAAACTACAACAGAAAATGCGCGTTTTACAGATCATATAGATTGTGAGTACAGAAATACGTCTGTATTCTAGGGTTGTCAAAAGTAACGACTTTTATAGGTTTTTCTTTGTGAGGTTTGGTTAGCAGTGACTGAAACACAACTTTATACACAACTGCCAGTCTGTATGGAGAGGATCTTGAGACTCCAGTAGCTTCAAACACCTGTTTGCTGCTCAGCAGTGGCTTTTTTACAGCTGGCATTACTATATAGTTCATTTGTTTGACAGAAACTTTCCTTAAATCTTTATCTGACCAAGATCTTCTGTGCTCTAAGTCACTCACAAATCTTTTGACAGTTCAATCATTTCTATTTGCTTTTTGCAAAATATTGTTTGTTTTGATGCCTTTTGCAAGACATTGCATTGTTTCATACTTTTCATCTTCAGAAAGATTGTTCTTCCTCACCATATTGCATGAGAACTGTGACTTGCTTAATAATGTGGAACAACCTCTTTAAGTAGGGTTTCCATTTACCTCTGAAGACCTGGCAAACTATTGAACAAACCGGTCTGAGATTGATACCAGTTACCTGAAATGATGTGAAAATCAAAACAGACAAAAATGGGACTGTTTATTGTACCGAAATCCTATTGATATGTCACTTGCATAATAATTTGGAACGCAGTGTAATGTCGGAAAGAACAAAATGTAGCATCACATTGGTTGGCTATCATAAACATTCACCGCGCTACACATGCAGTTTGCTAACAATTCTGGAATTTCGGTCAAATACATGCTTATTTCACTGCTTATAACATACAATATGCTTCGAATTATCGTTCATATCTAGCCTATAAATACACTACTTTAGCAACAAGACAAAGGGATGTAGCTGTTGTGAGAACAGCATTTACAGCAGCAATGGTTGTCCCCTCCACCATGTTTAAAGATTATGACCCGCCCAACTCGTAAACTCTGGTATCAAAATAATTCCCAGTAGTAAATTATTTGAGAGGCGTTCATGTCTAATTTCCGATTAGGAAACTCGTATTTTCTATAATTCCGATAGCACGTGAAGGCAGCATTAAGCGATTATCATTGTAGCCAATCACAGACATGCGTTAACTATTGAGCGCATAAACACAATGGCCAATCGTGGCCTAATGGTTAGAGAGTTGGACTCGTAACCCAAAGGT